CAGGAAGAGGACGAGATTGAGGAGGGAGTGACAGAGGACGAAAGTGGCCAGGATGGGTACGGGGTGAGGGACATACAGAATTTGGGGCGCCCCATTTCACCGTACTTTGACCGCCCACGCACTCCTGAGATGAAGCCTCTCTGGGGCGAGGGGCAGATGACTGGTGACGGAGGCCAATCTGGGACACTTTTAGAGGGAAAGAAGATTTACCCTCCTGTATCCAGTATGAAGCCCAGCATCATAAATGAGCTGAGCAGCAAACTTCAGCAAAGAAGCAAGGACAGCTGGAGCAGCCAGAGACCACTGGGCAGACACAGGTACACATCAGTGAGAACTTTGGCTTTATGTCTTTCAGTGTCACAGCATGAACTACATTTTTTGTTGCTGATGCACAGCATTGCCATTCTATTCATGTTTCACCTGTGTGAATATATCGGTGTGTCACCTGTGAGTTCTTTACCTCCCACGAATGATGTTCAAGCCTTCTGTGAAAAACAGTGCACTGTCTGTTTTTGTCCTGTGTAAGTGTTGTCTATACTGTGTAAAACTCTCTTATTTCTCTGGCTTTTTCCATGTGTTTCTCTCAGAAGCAGAAACAGGTAATAGAGCCACTTCCACACTCCTTTTTTTCTGTCAGCAAGAACATAACACTTTGACACCTGCTTGAATTCACAGCCTTTTGAGAGACAGTAAGGAACGAAGGGGAAACCTTCTTAAACATTTAAAATGTTAACTGATAGACTGATTGTACACAATTAAGATGATGACAGTATAAAATAATTTTAATCCACAGGTTCTAAAAAATTACTGGACAGCCTATTACCAACATTTCCCTTAAAGGGGCACTTCATCCAAAAATCCAAAAGACATATTTTTCCTCTTACCTGTAGTGTTATTTATCCATCTAGATTTATTTGGTGTGAGTTGCCGAGTTTCTGAAGATATCGCCTGCCTTCTCTCGAATATAATGGAACTAGATGGCACTCGGCTTTTCCATTATATTCGAAACTCAGCACACATCAAAATAAGTAGCACTACAAGTGAGAGAAAAAACATGGATTTTTACATTTTGGGAAGTGTCCCTTTAATGTGTGTGCATGTTATTATTTTCTGTTTCCTATCAGGCTTTTTTTCCCCTTCTAACAATTTCTCTCCCTCTCCATTCACAGATTTTCAGAAGACTCAGCCTCAGCTCTGAGCCCGCCGTCAGTTCGATCCCAGTCACCGTCTCCAATCTCATTATCGCAGCCATCGTTATCCCCGTCCCCCACACCCCCCTCCCAGTACCCCAACTGGGGAAGATCCCCATCTCCTCAGCCTCCAGCTGCCTCTCAGCCTCCACGTTCCCATTCCCCACTGTCCCCGACAACTTATTCCCCTTACCCAACCTCCCCCAAACACAGACCTGTCTACCGGACCAAAGCCCTAGAATTCCAGTTCATCCCCAGTCGCGAATCCCGTAAAGCAGAATCACACATACTCCAGCGTAGGCGAGCACCCAGCCCCCTCATCTCCCCGTCAGAGAGGCCCAAGCTGGGCCCACCACGGCCATCATCCCTTCCTCTCCTCCCCACCACGCCGCTATACAGTGCCATCTACGACCTCCGAGGTTCAATCACCCCACCATCACCTGGGAACCCTCTTGGAGATCCTTACTTCTCGCCCTCTCCTCCCCTGTTTGCACCCTCTGGTGCTCCTCCTCCTCCAAACTCCACCTTAGTTGTTTCTCGATCCCTCTCTCCAACTCACTTCCTGTCTGGAACCTCTTCTCCGCCCCTGCACCCTCTCCCTCCACCTACCTGTCTGAGTTACCCTCATCTACCACCCCCTTCCCCTACGAAGCCTTTTGCCTCCAAGCCGCTGCCCTACTGGACCAAGTATGATGTTGCAGACTGGCTAGGATACCTGAACCTGGGCGAGCACAGAGAGCGTTTCCTGGACAACGAGATTGACGGCACCCACCTGCCCTCCCTAACCAAGGATGACTATCTGGACTTGGGTGTGACACGTGTAGGTCACCGCATGAACATAGAACGGGCCCTGAGGAGCGTAATTGACAGGTATGGCTTCAACTGTACAGGCTCAACACAACTGACCACTACAACTAATTAATTTGATTGGAAGAGTCGCAATAGACAGTCAGCACAGATGATTCTCAAATGTGTCTTGGCAGGACTATCCCAATTATTTGGAATATTTACAATTGGTTACACATATTTTCTTTTCTCTTTACAAACATACAGCTCAAACCAACAGTTTGCCCTAATGCAACCAAAACACTTCATACACATCTAAGGACCAACTCTTGTACCATAACACTGACATTTGTCTCCCAACAAGAAAACTCAGTCACTCATCACACACACGCACGTCTATTTTTTGTTTAGCATTAAAGAAGATTTCATTATAAGAAATTGCACCTCTTTAATAAATGGATTGTGCCTTATGGTATATGTTACAGAAATTGATCTGAAATTAAATCAAATAAATTTACAGCAATGTTAGCCAAGTCTGTCTTCTGCATTTGGCCACAAGCTCTCTCTTTAACAACACTTTAGGTCCTCCTGGAGTCCAGGCTGGTCAGTGCTTTGAATCCAAACAGAGAACAGAGTTAAAAATGTGACTGTAACAGAGCACACATGGCCGTGAAGCACTATGGACACTACTTTAAACAAATAAAACCATGACTGAGATAATTGGTTACCATGTCACAGGATAAATAATTCCTCTTTCACCATCTGCCCTTATCTCAAACTCCTAAAAAGCCTGAGCTCCCTTTGCACTGGAAGAACAGCGCCCTCTCCCTGTTATGTGCTGTAAAGCATTCCAGTAGTTTTCACCACATTCTAAACTCACTGTAAACTGATAGATAATCATTATTATTATTATGGTACTGTTACTAGGGTTATGTTTTGTTTTTGAAATGCTACATGTCACACCTGTGTGGACTGAAAAATGCCCTGCCTCCGTGTCGACCTATGTCTGCAATGCAGCTAAAGAAACAAAACCCGGCTGTTATCAGTCATCAAGTATCTGATGACCAATGTTATCCCAGTCTAATCAGTCATGTAGTGAGCCACCATACTTTCCTAATGAACAAATCATTCTTTCCATTCTAATAAGCATGAGTCACACAAGAGAATAGCTCACAACTATGCTACAAAACAACAAACGCCAGTCATTATCATTTAAAAAAAAACACACACCAAGCATCACTCGTGTCCTGTGTTTGTTCTTCTGTCCTCAGGCTGTCCAGCAGCCCGTTTCCTATTTCTGTTCTCTCACCTCGGGATGGACAGAGTGAGAGAAGGAGGGACGACGGGAGTCGGAGCTGAGGTTGCAAACGCAGAGGCAGAAAGAAAGAGAGAGAGAGAGAGAGAGAGAGAGTAAGGGAGAAGGAGGGGTTGGAGTCAATGAGGGAGGAAGACACAACTGCTGCTATCCATGGTGGATTCACACAACAAATGAGGGGGGAACAGATTTCACACAGAGAGCGACAGAAAGAGGGAGTCAAGTCCCAAAGAGAGATGGAAACACGGGGATGGAAAAAGGGCTGATGATCCATAAACACACCGGCTGGCGCTCCCCAGTTGCGGCAGGCTGATTTACACGAGTACACTCCCCACATGCATGCACGGTCACACCAATCCGCAAACAAGTAACACAAACACACTTTCATCCAAAATGTATGCGAAGACACTATGGCTACAGCAGATATTATGAGTGAAGAGTAGTGATGAACCAAATACTTGAGAGGAACAATCAAAAGCCAGTTAGATTTTTCTTTTTTTTTAACTGAGCCGGTTGTGTTGTTGGTGAGCTGGAGAATTGGAGAAGATATGGGTGTCCTTCATTGTGCAGCCATCTTGTTGAATGGTCCTCTTACCCCTCAGCCAGCTGAAATCTGTTCAGGTTTAAGAGTGGAATTTACCAAGAATACGATATAGAGTGCAATCAATGACAAACACCCTCCCCGTGTGAGTGGATGTTAGTTTTGTTTCTGAATATCATAGAGTATTTGAGGGTGAATGTCTGCAAGAGTGAGGCTTTGTCTGTCTGCATGGTGAACGTAGGACGACGCAGGGCAGTATATCATGACAGCTTCCACGTCTTTTAGAGGTGATGAGTGTGCAGACGGATAACTCGCGTCCTTGGTTCAGGCCAAGGAGGCTGGCTGTGTGTTTGGCTTTGATCAGTTATGTCTTGTTTTTACCTCACCACTGGTAGGGCTCTGTCCTCACTGCAGGTCTTGTGATCAGGATCTTACGTGTTTCTCTATAGCTCTTTATCATCTTAAGTCTTATAATGACATATATACAGACTGGTCACTGTATCACAAATTTGTAGCAAAAATAAGTGCCCAGACCAACAAAAAAAAAGGAAAAAAGGAAAAAAAAGAAACACACTGATACACACTCACAGGCACCCAAGATACTACTATACATGCCTGCATGCATACACCAACATGTAGACACACACATACACACAAGCACTTACAAGTGATTGTGTTAGAGTTTATGGGACACCTTATATATAGACACACACTATATGTTTGGATCCAAGATGTACTTATACAAAAGGAGATAGACTGTGCTTTCAACTGTTAGACGGGATACGTGACAATGTGAAGAGAAATCTCCCCGAGGATTTTATTTACAGAGAAAAGACTTCCTCAGCGTCGAGGCAACTGTTGTAGACCCATTCAGACCTTCCGTCCGAGGGAGACTGGACAGGAGAGGGGAGGGGAAGAGGAAAAACTGCCATTTTCTTGCTCTTTCCCACCCAATCCCCCCTGCTCCTTCCAGGAGTGGCCCCTCTCTCTCGACAAAATCCAGGAGGAAACGAGTGGCCACCTGGCCGAGGGGATCTGAGAGAAACGCTTATATCCAGTTTTAATACTATGATTGTTCTTACAATTTTTAAACTTTAAATGGGAATACTGGAATACTGATATTGATATGAAGAGATTTATTGTTACTATTTATCATTACTATCATCGTCCTTACTGTTATTATAGCTTCAGAGAGTTCCTGGTTTCAGCCTTTGGTAGCTGTGATGGCGCTCTTGTGCAGTCAGTGTGTTTCCTGACTGTGTAGTGAAGATAATAGCATTGGTTATATATATAAATATATACGTATATGTAAGTATTTTTGAATTGAAAGATGCATATTATTTCGTGCACGGTACCCTTAACATTGCTTCTATGTGACGAGAAGCATTGCAACTTAAATGTGAAGCACATTTTTAGAATCACTTCTTGTTCATTTCTCCTCACCGTTTTTCTTTTGTCAGAGTAAAGAGCTTTAATCTAAATTACATGTTGACCTTTATAAATACAAAATATGATTTCATCCCTCATTTGTTGCCACTTAATTATGTGCAGATGCTGAAAATGTAGCAACTGTTCCGGGGATGCCCACGATACACATAAGTGAAAATTATGTCACTTTATTTAAACAGTACTTTAAAATTATTTTTTTCAATTCTGGATAACAAGCACTCCCTTTTGATTGATCACACACACAAATGTTATTCCTTTTCCAGTCCTTTTAAGTCCTTTTTATTTCCCATTAGCTTTCACTGCACATTTACATCTCATTATAACCTCAGTCCTGCTTTTCTCACTGTTGCTGAGATCAAATATAAGGGCTCTCTCATGACCTCTCTACCTTGAACAACACTTCACCTCTCCTGCTGCTTTTGAGTCCTCGAACACATATCAAACGTGCGTTCTTACATCAGGGCATCGTTGGGGAGTTTACCTTCCTCCCGGCCCCGCTATGCTCATAGATCACGTCGCTCAAAGTGCACACACACACACACACACGCTACAAATGTGAATGAGCAAAGGTCATTAAGGGGGATTTGTCTCTGTAATTGCTTCGTGCTGGTGGTCAAGGGGAGATTATATTTGAATGCAAGGGAAATAGCAATAAGGACGATGAAAATAATGGTCATATAATTATGGTTTAAGATGTAAAAAAAAAAGTCTCAAAAGTTCTAAAGAATCTCTGTCTTCCAAATAATGTTTAACATGAAAAGGTACAATGTATTTATTTAACTATTCTGCTTTCTATACAGTTCGACCCATTCTCTACATCTGCCCCCTTCCACTGTTAATGACCTGACAGTATTAAGAGCTCCCGTCTGTTTTTTCCACTCATCATTTGCATCTTCTTGTTTATACAAAGCACCTTCTGCAGTCGCTGACGTGTGCCAGTATGCTCGCAGCTCATTGTTTATTACCAGCATATTATGCAATGACCCTATTTCCATTAGCAACTGTGGCTTTTCACGTTTCCCTTTAGAGGTTTTTAAGTCACTTTCAGCCAGAGAGAGTGGGGTTTGTTTCTAAAAAGGGTGAACCAGCAGAATCTGGCTTCCTGTCCAAACTCAATCCAGATTCTACTTGTTTCTATCAGGTCAACGTTTGCTAGTGTAAATAGGGCCAATTAATAACTTTGGATAAGAGATTTTGAAAACCTCTTGCTGATACAGTGATATTCTTGTTAAACGGCTGGTGAGGAACAGTTTTAATCCTTTATTTGCATTTAGGAGTTATAATGGAGTGATGGCTCGTCGTTGCTGTCAGGAGAAAAATTAAGATCTGAGGGAATCGGTCTGACTCTATAGAAAGCATTTCTTTTTCCTTTAAGAGATCTTTTAAAAAATGAGAATATGAACTGACGAAAGGTAACTTACAGAATATATATGTATATGTGACCTGCATATACACACATTCATATGAACATATATGAATTTCAAATGTTTTAAGAGATAATAAATTGTTAGAATTATAATAAAGATACAGAAACAAAGTTCTAATTTATGTTTTCTGATTCCTTGATGTTTCATTTCCTTCTGGACGCTGATATTTAAACTGTGTGGCGACTGTTTCTCAACCTTTTCCACTCCCTGATTCACTTTATAGGTCCTTCCTTCCTCTCAAATCTTCTGCACCCGAATCTGCACATGAATCTGCACATTAAGCTGCCAGAGGGCTGACGGTGTTGTAGTAACCCTTAAGATTACAGCCTGTAAGTACAGTGTATACAGGGCACCAGTGATACACTTACTAGGTACCTCTCAGGTACGAGGGAATAAGAGGTAACAATTTTGTGCGTAGGAGGAACCTAGAAATAAATTATACCCTCAGTAATTTCTTAATTACCTGGTAAATATGAAATAATTACAGGTTACAGACAGTAAACAAACATGCTCAAAAGAAGCCAAAGCAAAAAATGTAACTTTATAAAGAACAAACTTTAATATAAAAAGTACTTCTATCTGCATTGTGCCCACACCTGAAGGGGGGTTGATTGTCACAGTTCTTTATACTGTATGTTGTCCCATAAACACAGAAAAATGTCCATGTTTCACCGAGTGAAAGTGTGTATTTGGTGTCTAACATCAGTATTGATCTTCAAAAGAATCATACAATACAGTGGATCCAGTACAGTACAGTTCCCGTGTATTTTGTTTTAAAAACACATTTTATAGTTAAAGCTATAAAGGCATTCTTTCGAGGCTTGGCCTAGGGGCTTTACAATTTTACAATTGCAATCATGGTTTTAAAATGTCATTGCAATAACATTACCCTGGTTTCCACATTTTTATTGCATTCTCTTATTAAATATGTCTTCAGTAATTTATTTAAGTCTCTGTCAAACAAAGATGTTTGCACCTCTTCTTGTTTTAGTTTAAGTGACATTAAGTATTTTACTGCTAACCTCTATATACTAAATATTAATTTGTAGTCATTAATCTTGTAGTGTGTTACAACAGCACACAGCAAAACCCCCAAAAACGAACACATTAAGATGACTCAAGTTAATCTTGTGTTCATGACTTTGCAATTTTGTTATTTGATTTAGAATTAATCAGTAAATTTCAGTATGGGACTCAGTGCTTTAAGTATTATAAATGATGCACAGGAATCATGTCACAAATTAAGATGCAGAGTTTTATTTAGTTAAAGCAAATACAGGAGATTAAGCCGAAAACATTGTAATAAAATACAAGAAAATGACATTACAACATTGTTATAAAAAGGAGATCTTGTCTGCCTGAAGACCAGTACCTGAAAAAGAAAACAGCAGTCAGCCAAACAATTCAGAACATAATCCTACAAGGTTCGAAACATGTTGTAGCAATCTTCTCCTCAGACTCTGCCTTGTCAAGGGCAGAGCTGCACTTCTTTCAACACTGATTTTCTGAGCCCAGTGCAATACATCACGAGAGAGCAGCATTCATATTCGAGGCCAAGATATGGTGTTATAACACAAACCTGATTAATGTCCAGTTTGTGAGTGGCTTGCCTTCCTTCTGTAGATCTGAAAAAACAACGAAAGCAAGAGTTTAAATGTTGTTTTAATTCTCTTTTTTTTTTTTACCATCATTAGTTTTATTTTCTCCTCAGAAACTCTGGCTTGTCAGGGCCAAAGACGCACTTTTATCTCCATACAGACTCAGAGCCCAGTGCAAGTCATCAGGGGAGAGGACACCTAAATCTATACTCAAGTTTAAAACAACTTCCAGGAATTAATGTTACACACACACACACACACACGGTTAGTTACTCAGCTTATTTCACTTCAATACTCTGCAGAGCATCTCTTACCAAAGCAATAAACTTCACTTTCAAAGATCCCCATGTCCACCACGACCAAGTGCTCTCAAGCAATCTGCTCTTTACGTCCCTATTTCTGTACAGTACCCCACCTACACTCCTGCCTAATTTAAATACTTTCTTTTTAATGTCAGCAGGGTTGAATTAAGTGTTAAGATGCTGTTCTATCCGATTTGACTTTTGAGTGTAAAATCATGTGTTTGTTGCCCTCCAGTGGTCACAGTGTCTAACTACACCTGTCTATAATGAAAATGATCATTTTAAAAAGTGTTAACCAAAAGACTTTTTAAAACTGTCTGCCTTTACAGTTTGTTGCAGGTGGTTGTTATGAGACCATTTATAACTGAGAATACATTGCTTTTTACATACCTTTGAGCCCAGTGGAGTTCAATCTAGGAATGGTTTCACTTGCTGAAAGTAGACCTGAAAAGGACAAAAGCACGTTGTGTTACTGAGTAGTCATAAACATAACCTTTGAGTAATATTAACCCTTTATTTTCTCCTCAGAAACTCTGGCTTGTCAGGGCCAAAGATGCACTTTTATCTCCATACAGACTCAGAGCCCAGTGCAAGTCATCAGGGGAGATTAAATACAACGTTATCATTAAATTCACGTTGAACTGTTCCTTCACGGTTTGCTGCTGGTTCTCTTATCATTGCTGACTACCTCCTCAGACTGTTAGCTTGCTAGCAGGCTAATGTCACATGGCAGGCCTACCACGTGGAGATCCAAACCCAAACCCAATTCAGAAAAGTGGCAATTTAATGTTGCCACGTTCAACACCACACAATATGAACCATGCAGGTGGCCACAATGCGTTGAGTCATTGCTACATGTCACCGTGTTAAGTTCGGCACAAAATATATCCGCTAAAGTCGGTTTATACTTCCATAAAGTCATTCACAAAACGACCCCCGCTGTTTCTGGCTGCCATCAAACCGAATCAAACTTCAGCGTTAGAATGAGAACAATATCCAGGTGTGACAGTTATTCCTGGAATCTAAATATATCACAAAACACCGTTTACATTAGTGAAATTAATAATATAATTAATAATAAACTTCTTACCAGCTCAAATTACGATGTTACCCTCGAGGCACACAGGGACCAACTGAGGGCTGCTGCAGCTGCTTCTTCGTCTTTTAAATATTGGGCGTTGGCAGCCGGCTCAAGTGCATTATCGCCACCTGCTGGACAGGAAGGGGAGCGCGGCGCAGTAAATTGACTAAATCTGAATCAGAAATACTTTAATAATCCCAGGGGGGAAATACTTTCGTTGCAAACTCCAGATATACATACAACATATAATATATTAAGAACATATATATAAATATATTTATATATAAAAGATAAAATGTACAGTTTAAAATGTGCAAAAATGATTGTCCGTGTTT